AAATGACAAAAAAATGAATTGTTATATGTAATCAAATTCACGTTGGTCTGGATTAAGATTTGTGAATGGGTGAATATAGAGAACATATCGAGAACGTGTTGTAATCTTCATGTGAAGGTTTGGAATTCGAACCTTAGTGGTCGGTGTCAAGCGAACATGATTAATTCTATATGGTTCATTACTTGCTGGATTATCTGGAGGGCTAGAAATAACTTTATTTTCAATAACGAAGTCATTGAAGTCGATGACATTGATTTGGATATTAAACTTTCTTCTGGAATTGGTTGATTCTAGGAAGAGAGGAGAGTAAGCAGTGTAGGTTGTATGAATGGTTTAAATTTCCTTTTGAGTTTTTGTAATTGATTTTGTCTATGGAGGTGGTTGTAATTTTGTTGGTCTGAGATTTCCTTAATCTCTTCTTTATAGAATTTGCTTATAAAAAAAATAAAATAATGGTCTTTTCTCTTTGTTTTTAATAAAAACCGAGAGATATGTACTACGTACAATATAGTTTTAAAAAAAAATATTATTGATGGGAATCAAATCAATGACCATTTCAATTATTTATTGATTTATTTAAAAATTGAGAAATAAAATGTTAGATTTTCATGTCATTCTTAGACTAATAAAACATATTAAATACCATATATGACATCCTCCGCTTATTGTGGGCATATCATCGCATTAACAAGACTACTTTTATTAGAATAGCAAATAACAAAGCATAATGCATAAATAAAATTTCAATGGACCTAGACTTCATACTTGCATTATGTTCACACTATAGTTGTTAGGTGATTTAATAAATTGAATCATTTTATACATCCTATGCTTATACTTTCGACTTTTTAAATAGAATTGAAAAACAAGTATTCTATTTACAAGTCATCTAGCCACTAACTAGTAATAAATGTATACACCTAATACATTTTTGTGCATTTATTTATAAATCGTTATAAAAATGAAATATTAACAAATGTTCACTAAAATTGTTAATGTTTAGGAAAGATAGAAATATTAAAATGAAGTAGATAGATTTACCCAATTTTGCTTGGTTGTAAATAATGATTAAGTTACATTAAAAATTCAATTGATTTTTTTCGAAGTTTTGTTTGCATCGTTTCGAAATAGATGAAGTATCTTTTATTTATTTATTTTTGATAAACAGAATCTATTAATAAGAGATTAAGGAAATCTCAGACCAACAGCAGAATAACCACCACAAAGAAAAGAAACAATTACAAAAAATCGAAGGGGAATTTGAACCAGTCATACAAGCTACACTGCTTACTCTCCTTTCTTCCTATGATCAACCAATTCCAAGAGGAAAGTTTAATAACGAAAACAATTTCATCGACATCAGTGACTACATTATTGAAAATAAAATCATTTCTAGACCTCCATATACTCTAGCAAGTGATGAACCAAATAGAATTTATTTTGTTCGCTTGACACCGGTCACTAAGGCTCGAGTTCCACACATTCGCGTGAGGATTACAGAGAGTTTCCGATATTATCTCTATATCCGCCCATTCACAAATCTTGTTTCAAACCTGCGTGGATTTAAAGCACGTGAAGAAAAGATGGGAGACGTCCTCGAAACTACTAGAACAAAGCACACAATCCAAGTCTTGCTCAGAATCAATCACCCTTCTTTTCAACAAATTAGTTCTAGTAGACAGTCTATCAAGTGCCATCCTCTAGCTGAAAGTTTGAAATTTCGCCGGGATAACCGTCTTCCAAAGAATCTCGAGATGGGAGTCACAATCAGAACCAATATCTTGATCATAGGAGGAGGAAGTTAAGGCTGAATATAAATAACTAACCTTGAACGACAATGAATCATGAAGCAGCCACTGCCATTTATCGGGCTCGTCGGGAATAACAGATACATTTTCCAGCATATTACAACATTCAGTCCAATCTGGTTCAGGAGGAAAACCTGAATCGATCAATGATTCTCTAATTTGCCAGGCCCACTTCCCGTCCTCCCAAGATCCCATGTCTCGAACGGTCGCCGACTTCCTTGAACAACACTGAAACAGTCGCTGAAATCTCTCTTTAAGCGGCAATTCACCATTCCAAGTAGACTGCCAGAACGCCACGTCGTGGCCTTCACCAACAGAGCAGCCCGTAAAATTGCAGAAATTAGCATGAGGGTCGTGAGAAGCGTTGGTCATAATATCCTTCATCCACAACGAGACAATTTTCAACATATCTACGTCGGAGTAAGTTTGCGTCTTGATACTCAGGTTGCCGTATCTATTTGTGAGGGTCTTCCTCCAAATTTCACTACCACCAGTTTGGAATCTCCAAAGCCATTTTGCCAACAGAGCACTATTGAAGCGACCCACATGCTTAATTTTAAGACCACCATGATCCTTTGATTTACAAACAAAATTCCATGAAACCCAAGGAATGAATCTATTACTTGAGTTCCCAGACCATAAGAACTGACGTTGAATCATGATAATATCCTTGACAACTTTTTTGGGAGCCTTGATGAAAGCCAAATAATGAATAGGAAGATTAGCAATAACCGAATTAATGAGGGTTACTCTACCTCCCATAGACAGATTTCTCCCATTCCAATTGGACAGTTTGTTCCTTAGGCAATTCAGAACCGGATTCCAAAAAGAGTAGCGACGATGGTTGCCGCCAATAGTGATACCAAGAAAACTAAACGGCAACCTTCCGGATTTGCAGTGTAAAAAATCTTCAGCAGCTACAAGAAAATCAAGGTCTACACATATCTCGTATAAGCAGCTTTTAGAGAAGTTAATTTTAAGACCTAAAATTTATTCAAAAGCATGCAGAATAGCCTTGAAAGCCCAAATATTAGAAGTCGAGCCATCTGCTATAAGCAGAGTATCATCAGCAAACTGAAGCATGCTCACAGTGGCTTGATCATTAATTTTGAGTTGAGATAACAAGTTACCGGTAGCCGCTGATTTCACCAAACTTGCCAGCCCCTCTGCAACAATTGCGAACAAGAACGGAGCAAGAGGGTCGCCCTGCTTCAGCCCCCTGCCAGCCCTAAAATCCTTCGAGGGGCTTCCATTGATAAGGATTGACATGTAACTATTGAAAACTGATCGACAGATCCATTTTAGCCACTTAATACCGAAACCGATCTTTACAAGCAAGCCATCTAAATAGAGCCAGTCAACACAATCATAAGCTTTAGCAAAATCAACTTTAAAGAACAAACAATCCTTGTTGAATCTCTTAGCATAGTCAGCTAGTTTGTTAGCCAACAGAACACCATCATAAATATGTCGCTCTGGGATGAAAGCAGTTTGAGAAGGAGAGATAATTTTGTGAATAACCTTCCTCAATCTGCAAGCCAGCATCTTAGATATAACCTTAAGAACACAACTAACAAGACTAATAGGCATGTAATCTTCAAAATGTTGGGGATTATTAGTCTTTGGAACAAGCGAGATGAAAGAAGATGCGAAAATCTTCGGAAGATAACCAGTTTTGAAAAATTCCAGGATGCAGTTCGTAAAATCCTCGCCTACTATCTCCCAATAGGATTTGATGAATATAAAATTGAAGTCGTCAACACCGGAGCACTTATTGCCATCACAGCTGAAAACAACAACTTTCACTTCTGCAGGACATAAATCAGCTTCCAGAAGTAAGCTATCCTCCTCTTCGAGACAAGCGACATGGTCGAGATCACTTCTAAACTTGGACGAGTCTTGACTTTGGTATCTCTCCTTAAAAAACCTCACAGCTTAGAATTTTATGACCTCAGGGTCTTCCTCAATCCTGTCTCCCACTCTTATAGCAGATATACAATTCAAACGGTACCTGGATTTTAAAGATTTGTGGAAAATTTTTGAGTTCAGGTCCTCATCTTGTAACCAACTTATACAGGATTTCTGCGCGAACATGCTCTCTTTGATCTTGAGGTTCTTCCACATCTTTTCCTGATTTCTCAACCTATCTTTATCTAAATCTGCAACATGGGAAGCTAAAACCAGGTCACTGTCCAACTCTAACTTATTAAGGTTACAGATATTTTCCTCCAACTTTAAATCAAGCCAACCGAAGACATTGAGGTTCCAATTCCGGAGGTCACTTTTCAGAGCATTAAGCTTCTTAATTAGAATGTTGCAAGATGATCTTGTGACATGGTACGAGTTCCACGACTGCTTAACAAACAAAATGAAATCCTTATGAGAGAACCAACAATTAAAAGACCTGAACGGTTTTGGCCCCCAATTTACAAAATTAGACTTCAACCACACATGCTAATGATCCGACACGTCTTTATCGCCCACCACTTGGTTATTCAAAGATACCATAAAACTTGCATGATCATCTGCCAAGAGTCTGTCCAGTCTACTTCTATTCTTACCATTGGAGTTGAACCACGTAAATCAGTTACCAAACACCGAAAGATCCGTCAAATTCATTTCATCGATAAACTCACTGAAAGCCTTCATATCCCTGCATCTGTTAGCACTTAAGCCTTTCCTTTCCTCCCCATTCTTCACCTCGTTAAAATCACCCCCACGATCCAGCAAACACCAGAGAAGTTTCTTTTTGCATTGGCCAGATCTCTCCACAAAGTCCTTCTGTCCGCAGAACCGCATGGAGCATAAATGTTAACCACAATCAGGCTTTGGTTGTTCCACAAGAAATGCATTCCCAAGAAACCTACACCACAAAAACTGGAACAAGCTGTGATTCTCGACCTATTCCACAAGGTAAGGACTCCACCAGATCTGCCAGAAGAATTTAAATCTGACCAATCCAGATCGGTGTTCCTCCAAATGCTATGAGCGATACCATCCTCCATATGAGTAATTTTAGTTTCCTGAATAAGGCATATGTCTGTGCTGCCTCTCTGCAGAGTTTGAGAAATTCTCCTTCTCTTCAAAGAGCTGCAACAACCTCGAACATTATAGGAAACAATATTCATTGACCACTGGTAGCTACAACCTTCTTGCCTAATCTAACAGCCTTGTCTTCCCTATCCAGTTTCCTCAGAATATGCCCAAGCTATCTTCATCTTTTCCCTGGACCCCTAAATCTATCAGGCAGTTTCTCAACTTGAACAGGACTTCATCAATGGCCCTTCGACATCGCAGGTTTCCTTTCTCCACATCTGTATCAGTAATTGATTCACCGCACAAAAAATCAGAACAAGACTCAAGAGATTTTCTATTCAACGAGTTCTTATTCCTATCTTCCCTAACAGAACCCCTCAGTAAAGTTCCTGCGTTCCCTTTTGAAGCCATGAGAAGGAGGGTAGAGAAATAAGAGGGGGTGTATGGAATCTTAATGTAATTGTAAATCTCATTGATGAGCTTTTTATTTTTGGCTTTTCCTCTATTCGCAGGCCCAAGAACTCCATCTAGAGGCCCAGTAAGAGGCGTAGGCAGCCCCAGGTCCACAACTAATTCTCCATTTAGGGTGAATTTATCATTTGCCACAAAAAATTGGTTTAGTTCGAGGTTAACCGAATGATTAGCAATTTTGGGGCCATCTGAACTAAAAGGATCTGCAGAGTTCCCAACATGGCTCCCTCTAAGACCACCACCTGTAGCACTCAACCCTAGGTTGTCTCCAACTACTGACACATTATCAAAAGAGGTGTGATCATAGTCTGAACCTAGGATTTTAGCAGTTGGGGCTCTCACTTCTGGTACGTTGATCGAGGCGCTGGATTCCCCACTCTCATCCTCTTCAAGCATCTCCCACGCGTCATCAATGTCTGAGGGACCAGATGATTCAAAGTCAACTGAGTCAAGCAACTCAACCAACAAAGAGTCACACCCACATAAAGCTTCTTCAGTGACAGAAAGGGAAAAAGCAAGGCGATTCACTTCAACAAAAATCTTCTTATTCTGGATAGCCCCTAAGCTCGTTTTTATCAGGAATCTCGCCACGTCCAAGCACTCTTTATTCCTAGTCTTCTCATCACACTTAACATAAGTTCCCAGGCTAGCAGGTATCAACCAAAAATTGTTTTCACTCCAAGCAACACAGGGTAGACCATAGCATTTTACCCATATGAACCTGTCTTTGTCAATCACCTCTTGATCCCAAGGGCGAATCTCGCTGAACCAGACATCCAGCCATTCGCTAGACTCTTTGATGAACTCCTCAATGTCGCCACCAGATGTGTCTTCCAATAAGCACATGGAAGCTCCCAAAGGAATTGCCTTGATGTTGAAGAAGCCTTCTTCATTAATAACCTTCTGAATATTGAACGCGTTTCTATCCTCCAGAACTACTGTCACTCTCATTCGTTTTAACCTAGAAACCCATTCATCTTCCACATCAAGCCTTGTGCAGAAACCACCTCCCAAATCCTTTCCATCTGGCTTAGGGTCAACCCCACTAACTACTTTGGCATAGGACCTAGCAAAAGTGTCGAATTTCTCAAAGCTTCTTGGACGTCCAGGTTGGTTTAGCTTCCTCACGTTCTCACCATCTGGGTTCATCTTCTTATGCTCCTTTCTAAACCTGGGAATATTAACAAACAACTTCTTGCCTTCCAGAACAACACTATCAAGATTACAAGCTAGGATTCGGGGGTTATGAACTTTCCTAAATTTAGCAAAACCAAATCTTCTACCTCGCTTGTCTCGCCTACCAGGTATGAATACTTCTGAGATGACTCCATACACCTTGAAGACCTCAACCAAGTCTTTAGCATTCATCTTATTTGGGAATTCGGTAACGAAAAAAGACGTCTTAGGATCTCCACCCACTGCTCATTTCCCACTGTTCTCCTTCCACACAGAAAAATCACCTCTATCTCCCTTTCTAGTCTTACTAGCTACCCTTGACCAGGCCATGGTGTTCCCACAATCCCAACCCAGATGATTACCAGGACTTACCAAGATCCCTAAGTTCGAAACCTAGGAATTTAAGCCGAAAATAACTCCTAATCTTCACTGGATCGAAGACATGCAAACACTCATGTTTTTGGAACAAGAACTCGGAAAATTAAAATGGCTAGTATCTTTTATTTATAAAGCGGGTTTAACATGGTATTAAGGCGAAAAAGATAGTTTGATTGGTTGAGTTTATTTTAGGTGGATGGCAAACGCTCGGTAAGTCTAATACGTGTGCCTCAGAGCCGATTATTTGAGGTTTCGAAGTAGTGTGCATCCTAAAGTCCCTTTTTATCCATTTAATTAAAGATAATTATTTGTAGAAGACGAATTCTCAGAATGTTCAAGACGTGTGTCTTTGATCGATTATTCAAGGTTTTGAAGGAGTGTGCATCCCGAAATCCTTTTTCATCTAATATGAAAAGAGAAAAGATTTTCAACGCGTTTCAAGTAAGCAGAAAAGAAACTTGAAGCACATGCAACATAACCGACGTAAATAATGACATTTTCTCCTTATTTATTAACAAAAATCAAGTGGTATGTGCCAGTGCAACATAATTTAGAAAATAAAAAAGTATTGTTGCTAGGAATCAAACCAATGACCATTTCAACTATTCCTTTAGTTATTCAAAAATCAAACGGGTAAATAGTTGATTTTCTTGTCGCCCTTCGTTACCTCTCTTATCTAACCAAAATAAAATCCGCTGAGATAAAATAGATATATTGGTAGTAGTGAATCATTCAAAATCATAAATTTGAAGAAAATAATAATCCAAAGCCAACATATAAAGAACAGTACAGGTAGGAAAATTAATTTATATGTCACACATGACTATATAGCATACAAATCATTGTCGTAAGTCAATATATGCATACTCCTTTGTGGAGCTCATATGGGGATGCAGTAATCATAACAAAGCTAGGTGTAGTTGGGAAATTTCCTGAGCTTCCTCGATTTGGAATGTACTCTGGGAAATGTTCCAAAACGTACTCACGATAAATAATTGTTTTCACAATTGCGTTGCTACTGTCAGCCATTGTGTTGTAAAAATTGAACTTTGATTTGCTTGTGTTTGGAACAACTTGTTATTGATGTCTTTCTATAACTATAAGTTTCATGTAAATGTTCTATTAGTTTAATCGAGCATATTAAATGTACATGTTTGCTATTCCTACACCCATTCTTACACCTTACACCCAATTTACTGTTTATAAATATATGAAAAAAATGCTCAGAACATGGTTAATGGTATGTATTTTATTGGTTAATGAAGTAGTGAAAGTGGTTAATAAATTATAGATAAAATAATTGGTTAATGATGTAGATTTTTGTAGTTAATGCAACTGTGAATTTGGTTAATGCGTAATCTTATATTTGTGTTATAAAATAAATTTTAAAAATAAATATTTTTTTTTTAAAAAATTAATATTTAAAAAAATATATTATTTTAATTAAAAAAATACTGTTCACCGTATAAATACGGTGAACAGTGCATACGGTGTATGTATGGGGTGTAAGAAATGGTGTCAAAATAGCATTTTTCTTAAATGTAATATATGACATCCTCTCGGCATATCATCATGCATCAAAAAAGATATTTTTATGTGGGCATATCGTCATGCATTAATACAATTTCAATGGACCTAGAAAAGATACTTTTTCCTTCCATTATGTTCACACTAGAGTTGTTAGAGGATTTAATAAATTTAATCATGTTAGACATTATTATTTGCAACTAATTTATTCATTAATTTATTGATATTTTCCTCTATATAATCCTTCGTATTTTTTGAATTTATTTTGTTCTAATCTATTATCTATTATAATATATTAAATCTAAGTCACAAACTATTTTGTTACTCTACTTTGGTTTATCACATCATTAACAATCCTATATAACACTCTTTAAAACACAATATTCTAAATCTTATCTAATTCATTGTAGAAATAAGTGTACATAAATCTCATTAATTAAAATACTTCTATTCATTGTAGAAATAAGTGTAACATTTCATGTATAAATCTCATTTAATTAAAAGGTTTCTATTGTGATATTTCATGAGTCATCTCATTCTATTATTTCTTCTAACTTAAAATCTATTATATCCATTCATTTATTTCCTTTGCATTTTTATCTACTACTATAATAAAGTAAACCTCCTAGATATTTACATTATTATCATTCTTAAATCAAATTACATGTCTTAATTCAAGGGATATTAGGTCAATTTACTTGCTTACATATCTTAATGCAAATTTGCTTTGATTTATGCGAATTATTTCATTTTATCATTAACTTTTAACAGCTACAATAAATGTTTTGATAGTAACTTTAACAATAACTACAATTTATTACTTCTATTGTGTTCCCCATAAGACCTTCAGCATTCCACCGTATGCTGCATAAAGAAGCAAATGACTTTTGTAACTGTTAGATCTTTCATAAAGACTTATATTCGTTTGTAAAATAAGAGTGGGGAAGTTTTGTTGTGTATGGAAGAGGAGATTACGTTTTAAAATAAAAAATAAAGATGTTTAAAAGTAGGTTGAGGTGCTGGAATGTTAAAAGTATTTGGCTGAGTGAATCTGAAGATTGATAAGGCTGTTAAAGAGATGATTGATCTTGATGATGAGGCTGAATACGTAGAGGTTTTGAATCTGGTTTCGTTTGTTGAGAAAAGGTCAATGGTTAACAAAGAAATGTGGGACAACATGAGAATGAAGGAGATGATGTTAAGACAGAAGTCTAAAGCTTTATGGTTGAAGGAAGGAGATAGGAACACTAGATATTTCCATAGAGTTTTGAAAGCAAGACATAGGAGAAACTACATTTTCTTTGTTCATACTGATTAGGGTAGAGTTTGTTAAATATAATTCATTGTGTAAATAAATTTGATTTGATATGATTAGATTTGATTTTAATATTTTGGGCCTTTTATGTTTTGGGCTAGTGTAAACCTAAAACTATAAATAGGGTGCCTTGCTTTGTATTCTATAATACAACAAAACAGATTTCATAGTTGCAGTTAGCAAGTGAAAGTTCAATAAGAAATCCCACAGTTGTGGGTAACACATTCTCTCCAAATATTCTCTTCTCTCATTCTTCTCTTTCTTGTGTGTTCTTTTTTCTTGTGTTGTTCTTGATAATTACTTGTTATTACCATCATTATCATATTGTGGGTTTGTTCGTCAATCTTGAGATCAAGATTGAAGGGAATTCTTCATAGGGTGTGAGGTGAATTTCCAACATCTGGTATCTAGAGCTCCGGTTGAAAGATTCAAGGAAGGAAGATAGTGATGGCGATGAACTATCCGAACGGAAACTTTCCGGCGACCCTGCCAATTCTCAAGAAAGACAATTATGAGAATTGGTGCAAGCAGATTAAGGTGATCTTCTGTTATCAAGATCTTTGGGATCTTGTGAAGGACGGAGTAACATCGCTTGGGGAGAACGCAACGGAGGCGGAAAAGGCTGCGCACAAAGAATTGAAGAAGAAGGATTATAAAGCACTCTTTATAATTCATCAGTGTGTCGATCCTGATAACTTTGAAAAGGTTAGTGATGTTGACTCAGCAAAAGAAGCATGGGAGATTCTTGAAAAGTTGCTTGGAGGCGCAGAGAAGGTGAAAGAGGTGAGGTTACAAACTCACAAGAGAACCTATGAGTTGCTTCAGATGGAAGACAACGAAAGCATTACAGATTTCTTCACCAAAGTTACAAAGTTGGTGAATCAAATCAAAGTTTGTGGAGAAGCGCTGACGACGAAAGCAGTTGTCTTAAAGATTTTGAGATCGCTGGCTCCAAAATTCGACCACGTGGTAGTTGCCATAGAAGAGTCGAAAAATCTATCAGTGTTGATGAAGGAAGAGCTTCAAGGGACTCTTGAGTCTCATGAAAAGAGGATGGCTGAGAGAGCTGTAGGAAAGTCGAAAGACATGGCTTTGCAGGCGCAGTCAGAAAAGGAAAGAAAAGGCAAAGGTAGCTGGAATGGCAACAAAGGAGGAAACCAGTCGAATCAGAAGAAACACTGGAACCAAGGCAACCAAAGAGGTGGTGCTGCAGGTAAAGGAAAAGGTGGTGGTCGAAAGCCAGACAAAAGCCACATTCAGTGTTTCAATTTCCAGAAGTATGGTCATTATGCTAGTGATTGTCTAGAAAGGAAGAGAAATCAAGAAACTGATGCAAAGCTGGCGAAACATGAAGAAGAAGAAACGTTGTTAATGGTCACAACAAAAGATGAAGAAAGATTCTAAGATCAGTGGTACTTGGACTCAGGATGCTCATCACACATGACTGGAAGGAAAGATTGGTTTGTCAACATGAAACCCTCGTCGAAGAACACAGTGAAGTTTGCAAATGACAACACTCTAGCAGCCGAAGGTGTTGGTGATGTTCTGATTATGAGGAAAGATGGCAAAAGATCAACAATTTCCAATGTGTTGTACATACCAGGCATGAAGAGTAATTTGCTCAGTATAGGGCAGCTTGTCGAAAAAAACTACAAGGTAGTTGTCGAAGACAAGATGATGAGAGTTCTCGACGCAGGTGGTAGATTAATCTTGAAGGCTCCAATGTCTCAGAATAGGACCTTCAAGATTGGACTCAATGTGATGGAGCACAGATGTCTAGCAACTGCAGCCAGCAGAGATGAGTGGTTATGGCATTTTCGACTAGGTCATCTCAACTTTAAAGACATCAGAGAACTGAAGAGAAGAAATATGGTTTCAGGATTACCAGAAATTGACATTCCAAGTGAAGTCTGTGAAGAGTGTGTTCAGTCGAAACAACACAAGAATAGCTTCAGAAAGGATGCAGGAAGGA